TCCCAACGCTAGCTCGCATGCGATTATCGAGGGTCAGTACATCCGAGTACAGCTTCTCCACTTTCCATGGCTCTTTACCATGTCCCGGGTGTACATCGACGACGAATGATAAAACCTCCTTCCCACGGTCATTTGGTTTTACAGACGAGTGCGAGACAGCGACCCGCGTCGTCACGAGGTCGTCTGGTAACAGGGGAAGCGCACGGAACGTTGCGCTGGTACCGGATGAAGTCGGATTTATCGGCGACAAGTAGGAAGTAGGTAGAGGAGATTCAGGGATAAGAACAGAAGCATTGTCGGATTGTAGCAGCTCCCGATGCGGCTGCCAGTGCGCTCGCGAAGGCGTACTTGCCGCTGCAGATGGCTGTGGGTTTGACTGTGTCGGCGTGAGCATTAATGCAGGATCCAAGGGTTGCACATGAGATGAAGGAATGTGAATAGCGCCGTGCGAGGGAGGCATTGGAAAATCTTCTACTGCTGCATGAGGCTTGTTCTTCGAATTTGAGTGTTTTGCTATCGTCTCATCTTCACGTTCATCATCATCCATATCTAGGAACTCTCCCACCTCATCCCTTTGCTCCTTTGTCAGCATGATCGTGGGAGATTCCGTCCGCGGCGTAAGAGACTCCTGTCCAGCATGACACTGCATATCATCGCTAAACCCAGCCATATGCTGGCACATAGATGGACTTGGCAATGGACTCTCACCCAAGTTGGTAATATAAAGCTTCGCCTCATCTGGGAGTGAAACAGAAGATATTCGGGACGCCTGTGATGGTTGCTGTGAGTTATCAACCGTTGGGCTGAGCAAGCCTGTCTGAGATGCAGTGCTTGAGATATTGGTGGGAGATATGGCTGAGCCGTTGGGAGACACAGCTGAACCATGAATGACGATGAGAGTATTGATGGATGATGTAGGGGGCTGGAGTGTAGCGGTAAGTGGATGGGCTGGTCGAAGGGAGACAGGAGGTGGCAGGTGAACAGACTGGAGAGATGGTGGTGGTGCAGAGGGTTGCTGCGAGGGAGGTCGTGAGTCGGTTGTACGCGGTACTGGAGGCCTATCTAGGTCAATACTTGATTGTGAAGTTGAGCCTGGCGAGGTGGCCCCACTCGAGGAAGTAGCAGCAGATGCGGCAGCAAGTGATAGTGAGATACCTCGAGGAGGTACGACCAAAGGAGAGTTGAATGGACGCGTAGACATTGTGGTTTGAGGCGTTTGAGGCGTTTGGAGATCGGAATCACGAGTGTTAGTTTCTGGGAGGCAAGGTGGAGTAACGGGGCGGTCGTCGTTACGAGACGGTGATGCTGGGAAGGCAGGATTCAGAAACGTGACCAGCACGTAATGAAATAATGACTTACATGTGGCATCCAATTGGTTGCGAACCATCCTTGATCGCAAGTCGCTAGACCCATTGACAGACATACTCGACATCGTAGCATTGGATTCTGACGACCTCAGACTCCTGGCTTTGTCCTTCTCGCGATCCTTTTCCTTCTTTGCCAGCTCAGTGCCCATTCCTGCTGCTTGTAAGCGAGTCTTGTAGGTATCTCGTTCACTACGGACACGTTCAATTTCCTTGAGCACCTGGTTGTATGCGGCACGTTGCTTCTCAATAAGTTTCCAAAGCTGTGTATTTTGAGTTGAGAGGACGTTGCGTTCTGACAGAACTTGATCCAATGCAGCGAGTATTGGATTTGGTGCGCTGGCGTGCGTGGCAAGGAGTGTTTCGAGAGTAATAGGGTATGTGGTGGTGTTGGCAGTTTGACCCAATGTAGAGGCCGCAACTGAAGCAGCGGAAGAGGATGCCTGAGGTCTCATTGTCATTGGAGATGATGCCGACTGTGAAGTCGAGCTTCGTTCGCGGGAGGGCGTGGCAGTAGCAACTGGAGTAGACATCGTAGCAAGTTGTAGCAGGTCAAGCTTTCGTGATATTGCCCAACAACGAAAACTTTGAACAAAACTAGGGAGCCAAGCGAAGCCTGAGATGATATTATGGCAAGTGAGCCCCAGTCGCCGTACAAGCGCTGTGCACGATTCAACGATCCGTCCTAAGAATTGAAAGTGTGAAATTGAGTTATGGCGGCCTGTGATTATCACATTCATGTACATACCAGTTCAAAGTCTGGTTGCAATAAGATCGTTTTTTTCTCGCAAGTCCGTGTTCTGGACCGTCGCTCACGGTGTTGGATGTCAAGCTCGCGGCTGTAGGAAATTTGAAGGAAGTCACGTCGAAGGCTCGAAGCTCAAATTTAGTGGCTGTCCAGCAACCACACAGTGACATGGACACACAATCAATATTAATGAATTATTGAGTCAGATCTGTCAGACTAATTAGTACCAATTCGTGTTGTCGACCAGCTCCAGCCCGAAATCCCCGGACTCCATTCACCAAAAACACAGAACTATCCAAGGATAATCATGATCTACAAAGCTGTTTACGCCCAATCTCAACATTCCAGCAGACACCGGTCAGGAATTTCAATGTTGTAGACGATTGCACGTCTTCACTAGTACTATGATCTGCACCGTGAAAACTTCAAGTTAGTGGTCATCGTGATGATACATACCCCGGCGTGCGCGTGAACCCTTCCTTGATCGGTGTTGGCACCTTTATAACACTATCCGATTCGCCGGATCATCTATCCCTGCCGTCCAGGAGCTCCATAACTTGATATCGTGCAGCGTAGAACATGCAAACATCCAGAGTCGACGGCGGCCATCAAGACAGGCCTGTCAGCGGTGTTTCATTGTTATGCAAAGTATGTATGTACTTCAAATATTGATGGATTAACGTTGATTTTGTGGGCGAGCCCAGGCTAATAATATTCATCATCCTTATTGTATATTCTGTTGTCAGTAAACTGTCAAGCTCACATCAAAATTTCGAGGCACCAATTGGAGTGAGGGCAGAAATGGGCAAGTCAATGTTTCATTGACCACGTGCACCAGATCGTGACTTATGGAATAAAACGGCGGAGATCTCCCGGGCAGTCGCATGTTCGCAACCATCAAAAGTGTGACAATCGCATGCAAGTATGTTCTCATACTTGCCACGGATTGCCCGTTGCTTACCGTGAGCATACTATGCCGTGGAGCTGAGGTTTGCTTCGTGCCTGATAAGTAACATTACGGATAGTGTTATAAAACCTCTGTCCGCAAAGTTCCTACATCTAGGGTGTGTTCCCCGATCAAACCATTTCGCTAAAAATGTGGATGTGAGCATCAGATGTCATTTTAAGATACACAGCCTAGGGTTACCACATGATTCCGCGGCTGTAAAACGGGCTATGCAGCTTGCTTGTCTTTGCAAACCATTAGCATGGCAGGAAACGAAGTGTGGCGCACGTTCTCGTTTGAGACGTGCGTTCAATTCACTTAGTACATGACCTTTGGAAAGCGCGCGTTATGATGCTACTGAGTCGGGGTATGCGCTGGTCGCCTCAAAAGCGCCTCCTACCTCATACACGATACGCCCTAGCTACCGGCTCATCAAAACCAGTAGAACCTGTCAAATACGCCGTGCGCCAGCGTGATAGTGAGTGCCTTCAATAAAGACTCACCAAGCTGCCGCCAGGATTCGATCTTTTTCTAGGGGAGCAGTGCTGGATGCTTGATAGAAGACGTAAAGAAGGCTGGAAGAAGAAGTTCAAATCTCCCACTGAGCGTGCAGGACTCTCGGTTGTACGGACTGGGTGAGTTTCTGAAGATACGGAAGACGCCCTCTGGTGCATGCGAGTGGCACAGTGGTAGAGAGGAGAAGGAGAGGAGGGAGTGTCTCTTGGATAGCACACACGCGTATATGTTATTTTTTGGGGGGAAAGAGTGGTAAGGACAGTGACGGGCGGGTCCTCTGGGAGTCTGCGCTTGCCTTTCCGAGCTGGTTTGTTGATCGAGGCGTTGGGATGGTCCTGGAGGAACGGAAGATGGGCCAGAGTGGGGTATACAACCACCAGCGGTGTGCGATGAGGGTTGCTACGATCGAGCTGAACCAGTAAATGAGTTATTGACGCTTTGTCTACGGTGATAGTGTTGATATGAAGAGCTTACTCAATACCCGGCTGCGTGCAAGGAGATGCTAAATAGCACTCGGGGAGATATAGGAGACGCCCGGAACATAGAGTGAGTTGGCGAGGTCTATAACTATTCGGAGTTGAAACAGGTAGGGGGCCCTGTGCGCTGGTAACGGGGCCGGTATAAAAGCATATTAAGAATGTAGCATGAGGAAAGGGAGAGAGGAAATGGAGACGAACAGACAGGAAAAGATGGTTACAAGGAGCGTGGAGACTCGGAGAACACGGCTTATAAGTTATATCAGTATGGAGTGACACATTGCAATGAATCGAGCTTCATTAAGAGTCTACCGTCCCCTGTTACTCGTCCGAAAATTTTCGGCTCCCTGGGATTGCGTCAGTTCAAGGTACGAGCAATTGCTCCTTCAAGCCTATGCAAGACCCCGAGGAGCCCATCTTCGTTACTAATGCCTGTTGACTTTACAATAGCGCTGACGTGGCTGTTCATTATTATCTTGCCTCCACGGCCAAACCTGCGCACGCTGCTCGATGCTCCAAATATCGATGTACGTCGTTGGTGTCCTCGTCGGTTAATGAGGCTGCCTTTAGCCTTTTGAAATGTACGTACTAACTAATCCAACTCTGAAGACTCTCACCAACTGACATATGTTTAACTACATCTTCCTAGACAGTTATGATCCTCCACCGGCTTTTCACTGCTCCCACTCGCTCGCTCGTTGTCCTCACTCTCTCACACCCACTGCACCATGTCCTCATTCATCGGCTGTCTTGCCGTCTCTGTCACGTTCGACCTGGAATTGCGGCCTTCTCTCATCTCATCTCTCTCGCTTGCTCGGCCGCTCAGTTCCAGGCTCGCGGTTCTCTGACATTCTCACCTCATCTTATGAAGGCCGCGACCGACGTCGAGTTTAAGGTCGCGCGCGCTCTTGATTCTGATTCCTGCCCCCCAAATACTTATCTCATCGCATCATACATGTAATCTTTGCACCATTAATAAAAATTGCACCGCCGGGCATCGTATCATCTACTCTACAGCACCTTGCAATGTACTGAAAGTGCTCAGTTGATCTCGAGTGGGATAGATATGGTGATGTACTGCGCATACAGTGGGAGGTGCAGCACTAAACGATGGGGAACGAGCTCGATGATCCATAACGTGTGCACCTGCAGTTAGTGCATAAGTGAGAGTGCTGAATGTCGATACTGGGATGGCGCCGCCGGTGGAACCGGTCATCAGAGACGAGTTGGGAATGAGTTCAGGTTGGGGCTCAACAGGTGGAGGAGTGAGATGAACACATGCGAAGCTTGTGTTGCCCTCCGAGGGCGAAGACCTTGTATATCTGACTGAAAACCATTTAAGTGTTCTAGATAATAACATGAATATACTAGTATTGCTTACCTTGTCGAGCAAGAGCACGTTTTGCACGGTAAGCATGGGTAGATAAACGGTCGCTGGAGTTGATGCCAAATGCATCGAAAAGGTCCAAACTAGCGCTGATGTTTGTGTCGTAGTGAAATCCTCGCATGATTCCTCCCAATAGCGTAAGACCCACACCATCACGATTGATATTCCTGTGTGCTTGCTCGTTTCCATTGGTAGTAGTTGGTGAGGCCTTCCAAATTTCGAGCGGGATGAGACTGTTTGGCTGATAGAGTGCCGGTAGCACAAACTTCGTGCCCTCAATTTTATCTTTAAGCCATGCTGCCGGTAGTAATCTTGCCTTAGAAATACTTCAAAACATGAATTAGAAAATATCACAAACCTGCAGCCTTTTTTCCACCTTTCTTTATCTTCTTCAATGTTCCCTGTAGATCAGGATGAGGCTCCGCTGATGCGATCGTCAACATGGCAATTTCCACATCTTTGGGAATTTGACCACGGAGACTACGGATATTCCGTTTATAGTGCGCAAGACATAGACGGTAGAAGCGGCGCAGATGGTCATATGGATCCAGGTCACGAAGTAGAGCAGTGGTGTCATAGCGGCAAGCCTGTATTGAGTCTTTACACAGGTATACGCAATACATACCTAGGCCTGTGGAATTATTGAATATATTCAAATTGCAATTCACGTTGACTCGGATTCCAAGAAAATATACTTACCAAGACCTTGACCTTTATGTCCATCAGCAATGATGGTTTGAATCCCTTCTCCGTGCATGTATTGAAACTGAACAGCACAACCTGTGTCCGCACTGGCAATCTCGAATATTCGTTGGAAGAGGATGAAGTGTGCTTGTGCTGATTGAGATGTCGTGAATGCTCGAGCACCAATAACAGCTACAATACATGGTCATGGCCATCAGCTGAGTTGAGCAATTTGGTATTGAACTTACATTTCATGTGGGCAACGTCCCAAGACTCAAATTCAAATTCCTGCCAGCCATGTACACGTTTGAATGAAGTGTCGATCGAGAGCCGTTTTGCTTGCATCAGATGCCATGACATCCGCTTTGTCATACAAATGATCAGCCGCAGACTACTAATCGAAGTTGATGTGGTGGCCGCAGGTGGATTTGATGCTGATTTGGTGGATAGCTGATGTGACTCCGCACAACGAATATAGCGCTCGTCAATGGGCAAAAGATCGTGTTTTGTTGCCAAGTGAATAGCACCTGCGAATCCTGTTCCACTTGGAAATTCATTAAACCGCAAAGTGTTGATGAGGCGCCGAGCATGGTCAGAGTTCCCAAGAGACGGGTGAAGGTCTGACAGTGTGGGATTGCGGGTTTCCTTCCAACTGAGGTGAGCTTGTAAAGCTTGTATGAATGCAGAATCAAGTAAAATCCGACGTGGTGTTGCATCAGCAAGTTTCCAGCTGAGTGTGAGCAGCAACTCGTAGAAAATGGCTTTAATAGCTTCTGGAGTTTTGACAGGTGCAGGCGGAGGGTGGCTGTGATTGTTGGTGCAGATAACGAGGACTTGTGGGCAGGCAGTGAGATTGTATGGTGTATATATGTCGAACTTTGCCTTGCATGGAACTGGCCAGCTATGAAGTGTTCCACGAGCCAATTTTCCTTCATGATTTCGATGCCAATATGCTGCCCAACAGATTAGGATATATGCTACTTCAAATGACAGAAAGTAACTCACGACAACATTGCTTCTGCTCAGCAGGGGAGGCAACAAATGTGCACGGCATGAGAGGACCATATCCATCATTTTTTGCTCGTGTTTCATGAAAGGAAATTGCCTTCAGGTCGTTCTCTATAAGTGCCCGCAAGTAATCAGTATTGAATTCGTCCAAATTCCGGAGGACAAGATGGGTGCGAGCTCGAGAAACAGAAGCATTGAAATTTTTGCAGCTGCAATGGATCATTAGTCTATGTAGTACACACTCTAGCCGTTTAAGTTGAACTGACTGAATATATGGACGGCCAAGATTATTCACAGATAACATGAGGGGAGCCCCACACCCCCTGGACTCTGACTCGGAGTGAAGATCAAAGCTGTCTAGTACTATCTCAGGACTTAAATCCAAGTTTGCATCGAAGCCACATCCCCGTTCAGAGACAGCACAAAAAAATGCTAGAGTCTTGTTGAAAACCTCTGCCTCTGCAGAATCATCACTGTATCCAGCCTGAGACAGACTCCAAGTCGGAGATGCAGCATAATTACTGCTGAAACTGGCCTCGTTGAATGTACATACCTTGAGGCCATTGCCTGTATGTTCTCGTTCTTATTAGTATGATAAAATCAATAGTCTCAGACATCATTAATGTACATACACGATGACTTAAGCTGGCGACAACGAACACCTTTGCCTGCATCATCTCGGAGAAGCAGGCACACTGCATTTTCACGCCCACCATGACCTCCACCAAGAGAATATTGGAATGCTGATTGAGGCTGCACGAAGGATATGGGATCAACAACAAAACGGTGCGCAATGCTGCCAGGTGCTGTTATGGGATACTCGAGGATAGCATGAACAGGGTGATCAACAATTGCGCTGACTTTGGTGGCTCGATTCACATAGTTGGCTCTCCGTGAAATTTCCTCGGTGGTAAAATAATATGGAGCGGGAGACTGATATCTTGGATATGGGGGAGTGGAGATGGTGTCGAGGGTTGAATCCACGTCTGGTGTATTTTGGTGTGATGACGGCGATGACACAACTGAGCTTGTGACTGAGATAGGGGACAATCCTGCACTGTCCAATATCTGTTGCACTTTTTCAAGTGCTTCAAGTTGCGAACAGGTAAGACTCATTGAGAATTAGACAGAAGGAAAAATGGGGGGCAGATACTAGCATTGAATTCAAATAATTGCCTGTATATGTGACAGTTGGACGTTCATCAATGACTTGCAAATGGGCACCGATGCACCCGCACACTTAGGAACCCACTAATTTCGGGCTCTTGCAGTTCATTGAACGGACACTTGCATTCAAAATTTACCTCGCATAACATGGCCGAGGGATTCAGCAAGGCTCTCTGTATAAAGGTCAGCATCTCGCTCATGATATAGTACAGTAGGCCAGGCTAGCCATCATGGATTCAATTTTTCGCCCGTGTATCGAGTACCAGCATGGAAGCACAGAACTCGTCATCTTTTCACGTGAGGTGAAGCAACTTGTCACTGTTGCATAGTGTGTAGCTCACTTTGACTTACTGCCAACCACTGACTTAAAGTTATGTTTGCAGCCCAAAGTCGGGTCGTTTCCGCATTCGTCCTTATGGCTTGGCAGATTACTTGCAGCGTCGAGGGCTTTTCATAGAATGTTTCTGCGGCATGCTCTCAGACACACCTTGTTCCACCAGGATTGTGGACTCTGCCGTGAATGGGCATGTCTTGATGCAGTGTGCTAATGAGCAGTGTGGATTTAGAGGTTAGCATGTTGCACTGGTGATCACGTCCTTTGTACTGACACGATTTTCACGATTTCACGACAGCCAACATCACAGATATTTATCACACATCTTTTTTTACCTCTAGTTACGAAGAACTGCCAACACTCGGTATGTATTTACTGTTACCTAGATGCAGGTGTCAGTATTAATGGTCTGCTCGTAGTTGCAAACCCCCAACCTAACATGAATCCAGTTCATGATGCCTTCCGCCAGCTTGCTCCTAATGAGCATGACATTGCGCCCTACTTCCACGGCTATCTCGGATCCCATGTCTCAGTTTGGCCCGACTTTCGACAACTCCGTGGTTTAGTTGGTGCACCCTCAGCAAATCCACGTCCATTTATCCGACTAGTTCATCGTCGTGCTGGTGAGTTGTAGCACAATTTATAGAGTATCATTCAAAAACTAATTAATACAAAGGATCTATTCAAGGTGCTGCTGCTAGTCAGTTGTCAATGGCGGCTCGTCGTGGACAACGTGTATCCACACGTCTCCCGCTCGGACAAGACAGTGGCATGGTTGTGATGAACAGGCTCTCGGCCTATGAAACAGGTCTTCTTGCTGACCTCTCCGGTGAGACAGGTGTAAGTGTCTGGGACTGGGACGGGCTTTTCGAAAGATGTGACCACTGTGGAAGGTATTTTGTTGCGACGGTACTTCGAATGCATATCCCGCACTGTAGAGCGTGAATAGCGGCCATGATATATATCCTATGTGTCAATAAAATTTTGATGCATCATTCGAGGTGACGGGGGTCATTGAATGGCTGTACACGCAGTTTGAACGGTGATTGCTCGTACCTTGAAGTGACGCGGCTTCTGAGAGCCGAAATTTTTCGGACGAGTAACAGGGGACTGGTCACTCCTTCATTAAGTTAGACATTGCTTCCCTCGTTGTTGATGACGGCGTACCTTTGTCACATGGTGGGTAAGTAGGTTATGGCAGTTCATTGGACCACGGAGTCGCTCCTCCTTATCGAGAACCGCCTAGACTGCACTATTAGAATTGAAATCAAGCTGGTTCCTGTGTAAGAGACGGCCGAGTTCACGCAGATTAAACGTACCTTGGTGCCTTCCGGCGTTATTATATAACCCATCCTCTGAGAATGAAGGTCAGGCCCACTGTGACGGCGTACGAATACACACTTGCTAATGTATTTCTGCTCGAAAGGCACGTGCGATCGATAAGTACTCGGAGTCTGCAAATTCGTTTAACTTAAAGCAGCAGAAAATGTGTTGTTTTCTATGAGACCTGTAAAACCGTAGACAAACCCAGGCTGATGTTCTGCCAGGTCTGAAAAGCACTATTCTCCCCTAGGCTTGAAGCCAAATGGAAGGAAGACAGTCGAACGAATCTAATTTTGGAACAGCATTGATCCGTGAATACAGCACCTTCCTTTCTAGGATGTCTAGTATAAGATAATACCAAAAGATGAACCTTGAACCTTTCCAAGTTTGACTCAATTGACCTTTAGTTTTTCTTTCGCTGGCAGGTTCAGCTGAGCTGAATCATAACAGCATAGAACGACAGGCATACGTAGACCGTTTAGTCCTCTCAGCTCTTTTCCTCTATTCATAATGATCTCTTCAACAATCCGCACTGCGTTTCGTGCGCGACCGCCGCACTTTCGTCGACTTGTTCCAGTGGGCAGGAACAGAAAGATATCCCACTCGGTAGCCTCACAATATCCTACAAACACTTTAACATCAAGTCAGGCAAGAGATGACACTACTCTCGTAGAAACGGAAAAAGTAAAACCAGGTCATGCTGTCATTTCCACATTCGATTTGTTCAGCATCGGTGGTGAGTCCTTGTATCATTGCGTTTTGAGTGCGTGAACATGAGACTGAATGGATGATTTGCTTGTTCAGTGGGCCCAAGTAGCTCTCACACAGTTGGGCCCATGCGCGCTGGCAAGATTTTTATTGCTGACCTGCAGGAATTGCAAGTGCTGGAGAAGGTACGTGCTTCCGCTCTCCACCTCATACGTTCGAATGAACTTGTTTTGGAAGGTTAAAACTGTGAAAATAGTCCTGTGAGTGCAAGAGCATGATTCTTTCTGCATCAAGCTGACAGTGGAGGTCCGCATGATAGCTATGGATCACTGGCTGCTACGGGTAAATATTGGGATTTCCGAGTTCTGTTCGCTAATCGATAGCTCTCTTCACATAGGAAAAGGGTGAATATATTATTCCACCCCTCCATGATGTCAATTTCTTGCTGTTTACCATTGGAATCCCATTTCTGCAGGCATCACACTCCACAAGCGGTCCTCCTCGGGCTTGAAGGTTCAGACCCTGAAACCATTGACACGGGAACAATCTCTTCCCGTTACGAAGCTATACTCACAAATAGAATTCTTCATCTTGGAGGTATTCGCCGCATTACCTTTGATATGGACCGTGATATGCTATGGCGGTGGGATCAAGTACTCAAGACACACCCGAATGGCATGCGTTTCTCGTGCTTTGGCGAAGAAGGCGAACTCTTGGCAACTAACGAATACTATAGGTGTGTATAATAACCTTGAGGTTTGATGAAGAAATTGAATAAATCATTAGCGTTGGAGGAGGATTTGTAGTAAATGAGAAGACAAAGAGTATATCTCCCAATATCAATTTTGGATGTGGGTCAGCGGCTAACTAATGCAACAGTAGACGAGAATTTATTTTACAAAGGTGTCGACAAGAGCGCGGTGCATGGAGCAAGGTTGCATCAGACCCACAACGCCATCGAAGGTGATCAGACCCCAGCTCAACCAGCAGCGAACGATCCTGGGCATCCGCCGTATCCGTTTGAGTCTGGAAACAGTCTCCTAGCACTCACAAGAAAACACAACGTACGTTTCACTCCTTCATGGAGGTGTCTGATTGTCATTGGTCAAATAGCTCACTATCGCACAAATCGTGCATGATAATGAACGCTATTTTGGTCTATCCGAGGCTGATATCAACGACAAGGTATTCTTCTGCTTTTCCATATTAGCTTCAAATATGGTTAATTGTATGTAGCTCATGCGGATATGGGCGGTGATGGACGATTGCATCCGATCAGGGGTGAGCACTGCTGAGAAGACTCTCCCCGGTCGTCTGGGTCTCCGACGCCGTGCCCCGATGCTGTACAAACGCTTGATGCGAGGGTCAGTTATAGTTCACCGATTACATACCAATAAACATGATCCTTAACCACTGGTGAAACAGGTTCTATCCTGGGATTGCAACACCCGATTTGCAACTCATCGGTTCCGCATCTACCCCTTCTGTCGCGGCAATAGATGCACCAGAATTAGATGTCCAATCTTCGCCTTATGCGAACGGAAGTGACGGACGTGGTGGAGTACGTGCATCAGGAAAAAATACGCATGCCCCATGGGTTACAGGCTCGTTCGATCATGCAATTCTGCCAATGCCTCCGGTAATGATTCATTTTCACCAGTCTGCAGGATCTTAACATTGCTTACAGCGCAAGACAATGATACCTGCTGTCGACTTCCTTTCTTGTTATGCAATTGCTGTAAACGAGGTCAATGCCAGTGGAGGGCGCATCGTCACCTCACCAACGAACGGTGCGGCAGGTGTCATCCCTGCTGTGCTGAAATATATCATCGAATTCATCAGCGATGACCCCGAGAAATCGGTCAAGACCTTCTTACTGACCGCAGCGGTATGCGATGCAGATCAAATTCAAGCGAAAATCAGATACTTAACCAAAGTTTGCAGGCAGTGGGCATGCTATTCAAGAGGGGCAGCACAATTTCAGCTGCGGAAGGAGGGTGTCAGGCGGAAGTTGGTGGTGCGCTGATTCGAATTGTTATAGAAAATGATGGTGTTCATGCCACTATCATCAGTTGCGTGTTCTATGGCCAGTGCTGGTTTTGCTGCCTGCATGGGTGCATCGCCCGAAACTGTCCTTCAGGTCCGTGTTTCTGTTTTGTTCCATGTCAGCTTCTATTGAGTATTTTTCAGGCTGCAGAAATTGGCATTGGTAAGATCATCTTATTTTCTAATTTTGTGCCTTTTGTTTATGGTCCGCAGAACATAATCTGGGATTAACTTGTGACCCCATCGACGGGTTGGTCCAAGTGCCTTGTATCGTAAGTGATTGTGAGAGTATCATGAAGCTCACCTGCTCATCTACCCCTGCAGGAACGAAATAGCCTGGGCGGTACGTCCGCGTTTCTCCATTTGATGATACTATTTATTGATGTGGGACTCGCAATGTAGCTGTGAAGGCTGTGACCGCAGCTCAGCTTTCCATGGCTAGCACCGGTGTATACCGTGTAACCTTGGACGAGGCAATTGAGGCGATGCGCCTCACCGCGGCTGATATGAGCGTCAAATATAAAGAAACTAGTCTATCCGTACGTTACTGATTCATTTTCAACATATTTTTCTCGCTCAATGCCGAATTTAGGGACTTGCTGTAAGCTCGCTTGAGTCTCAGACGATTCACAACCATGACATCTTTTTGTAGACAACCGTGAAAATTCCGCTGACTGTGCCTGCATGCTAAGTAATCTGCTTAACCAACCACAATGACTGGATTTCATTCTTTGTTGAACCATCATTAAAGATACCTACTTTCTAGAATATAGATGGTCTGCTTCTGATTCCGATTAATAGATGACTCAGTAATTTTTATCTGTACCTTACATTGATTTTTTTGCACATAATCTATGGAAAGATGTCAGAAAAGGTTTAGGAATGTTATGTAAGTCAGGATTAGGTCTGAATGATCGCAACTCCCAGACGCGTTCACATCGAGTTAACTTGGGTCTGCTCATGCTTTTGCTTACATCCATCAGGCGCGACATCACTAGATCTGGACCACTGCAAATCCTGATTCCTCTCAGCCTTCTGCTGCAACCCAAGCTGCAGCTTGGTTAGTAGGCACCCATCATCTGACATTGTCATCATCCTGCTACCACCACCCGCAGCAACTGGAATACGAGGCTGTGTCCTGCCACTCTCGTCAGTCCGAGTCGAAGACAAACGGACAGAGACAAACATCCAGTGACCTCATACACCATCTTCACGAGCTCTGGGTGCTCTGAGCCCGCGTTTTTCATTTTCCACGAAGGTTATCGTTGAATCCCAGTTTTTGAATTTCATCTCGTGCTAGTCACTTCGTCATCCTCGTAACGACTCAACGAGTCCGCAGCTTCATCGACGCAGTCCAGTTCCACCCTCTGGGTGTCTTTGAACCAGGTAGCATATGGCTTATGTGCATCTGTTAATGTTAAGTGAGAGTGATATTGTCAATACGAGAGTCACGCAGTGTCGAGCTCCAAGTGTTGTCTCACTGCGTCAAGCCTCGACCTCACCCTGTCAAGTCCGATCCACTCTCTATACTCCGAGTCTGCACCACCACGTCAGGCCCCAACCATGGCATGTCAAAAGCCTCGTTTAGGCTGGGTCAAGCACCACTCACACCATGACAAGTTCTCCCAAACATCTTCGCAGTCTCTGTACTAATATCAACACCCACACTCTATGCCGCGTCCAGGCCTACTGTCAGTGCAGCGTCAACCATAGCACATACCGCGTCAAACCTTGTCCATGCCGCGTCAAACCTCACCACCTCAACTGTCACACTGTCCGTATAACTTAGCTATATTTTAACGATAGCATGCTGTTAAAGATGGCGGCTGATCTCATGATAGGCTATCCTACCAACAGCTTCGTGGCTGACGTCGACCTCGAGTGTCTGACCGCACTAGAAGCAAGGATGTTCGAGGATTCCGAAGAAGCAGGACCTGCAGGGAACCAGCAGTGGGGTTTAGATGCTGGCCAACATCACGGGCGATGGAATGTGTATCTCGACATTCCTGATGAATGGGTTTCTGGAAGAGATTATAGCGAGAGTGAACTTGAAGTAAGGAAGACATTACCTGCTCCGTTCGATAGATATCTAACTTATGTGATTGACAGCACGGCCCCTTATTCAGTGATAACTCTGATGCTACATCTTTGGAGTCTGCAGACGAGTTATCCGAAGCTGTAGTTCTTTCTCTGCCGGCTGAAAAATGTCCGCCCGTTAAACGTCGATGTGCTCCACAGGCTCGAAGGGTCCAGAGAGGGAGGAAAAGAAAATAGTCATTGGCTTATGTACCTAGTTGTACATGTCCCTACGGCAAATAAAATAACAAAGGAATGGTCGTAAAACTCATTCAACTTGATCTGGAAGTCGAACGTAGAACATATAGGAATGGCGCATCAGTGGGCTGCATCAGTGCCGTGTCACATGCGCGTCACGACCGCGGCAAAATAGCTACGCCCTTCAGTGACGCCTACCTAGCGTGTGTCACATTGGCTCCCAAACGACGACGACGACATTTTGAACATCCCTGATAATTGTGTATATCTCGAGTAGTACTATGGATTCAGGACACTCCAGGGTTCCATCGCCGTCACAACTGCCAGCTTCATTCTCAAAATATCATCATCCCTATTTCACGTCAGCTGAGGTACAACACCTATCCGAGAAACAACGCGGAAAGCTGTCTGCCACGCAAGAAGAGAAAGCAAGGCAACAAGCGTGTGGCTTTATAGAAGCCGTGGGCTCGAAGATTGGCTTGTGCGTTTCTGCCTACAGAGAAAGATATGCTCATGTTGACGGCAAAAGGACAGTCCTAGGAAGACTTTAGCCACTGCCCAGAATCTGTACCACCGCTTTCACCTGTTCTTCCCTCGAAAGGACTTCAACTACCACGATGTCACTCTGGCAGCACTGTACGTCTCCACCAAGATGCACGACACGCTCAAAAAGCCTCGGGAGATTCTCATGGTGTCATATGCTGTGCGATTCCCAGAGCTTGCAGCCAAGTCGAAGTCTGTTGGCGGAGAAGTCGATATGGATCCCCCGGTGAGTGATGATCTATGAATTTCAACTGCTCTTCTACTGACGTGGTGAATTTAGACGGCTGAGAACGACCGCCAGAGACTGCTGGCTGTGGAGCGACTGATTTTAGAGACAATATGTTTCAATTTTACCAGCAAAATGCCATTTTCGTATGTGATCAAAATTGGGAGGAAGTTGAAAGGTGTGTCTACTCCATTCAATGCTTTCTACACTTTCACACTCAACCTTCTGCATATTTAGCATCGAAGAAGTTGATTAAATGTGCATGGCGGCTCACTATCGACAGGTGTGTCACATTCTTTATTGTAGTTCACCTTATATTCATATCTGAGCGAAATTACAGTCACAGGACATTGGTACCAATCATGTATCCACCGAATACTGTCGCATTAGGATGTCTATATACTGCATCCTTGCTGACGACCCTCGAACCGCCGCCATCTCCCCTTGTAGAGGCACAATTGGACTCGCGGGTAGCAACCATTCTAAAGGAAAAAGGCGATTGGGAGCGGACGTACCTGGCTGAAGCCGAGGACTTGGAAGGTTGGGAACTTCTCCACTTGCGTTCCCCAACTGATTATCACCTCCCACAGAAATTGCACATGTACTTATCGACCTCCTTATACAAGCCGCGCAAAACCCGTCGGCCAATACGTCTCCACGTACTCCGGCATCCCCTTCCCCGCACCCGTCACCACGAAATCAACATTTGTCACCCGTTGGCACCCCGCAACCTCCGCCAATTCCATACAAAGCGGATCAGCTTATTCGTCTTAAGATTATGATGCGGCAAAATGAACACCCGCTGCGGCCACAGCAACCTCTCGGGAGTGCTGATCCAAGCGAATTATATAATGGGAATGATATCGCCATGCTAGGGAGAAACCAAGGGACTGTTAGATTTTTGTTTGGACCTCCAGGAATTGTTGGTCAAGGAGTGTAGGGTGTCGAGGATTTGAACCGTGAATTTCACTTTATAAAATTATCTTTTGAGTTAGATTGTAGCGGGTCCGGTGGCGGCCTCCGTGTGAGTTAATTTTGAATCACAGCTTCAAGTTGAATTGCATCCAACTTGGTGGAAATTCAAACCCTTTACTTGATTCTTCACACCGTGACTACTATGACAGAGTCTTCAGACAAGAAGGACCAAGATGAAACCTTGCAAGATCCAACACCGTTTGCTGGCACACAGACAATGCTTATCCTTGTTGGACTGGTGGCATCGGGAAAGGTAATTGCATTTGATTTTGGGATCATTGGTGGTCCGGAAACTATGGCCGACACAATTCTTGTAGTCCACGTTTGCTCAGGCACTCGAACATCACTTTCCGCAATTTCGTAGATGTAATCAAGATGAGCTTGGGACGAGACAGCGCGTCGAGAGTTTAGCTCACCGCGCGCTCCGCGAAGGCTTATCGCCTTGTATTGACAGGTGCAACTTTGATGCGATGTAGGCCTTTTTGTATCACGTTGTATCCAAATTGAAGAAGCTGATATTACGGCTGTCACTACCTACAGACAGCGATCACACTGGATCAATATCGCTCGCCAGTTTCCTGGTACTTCGATCAGCGTTATTGTTTTCGATACCCCCTATCAGGTTCGTTGAGGTTCACGAGAAAGAATCAAAGCTAATCGTAGCTTTATCATACACTGCATTTATATCTAGGTTTGCTCTGCTCGTCTTCAGGAACGTACGTGAACTTGTTTATGAATTATTTATTACAGAGATTGATGACGATGTGTTGCTTAACAGGAAGTTCGCATCCAACCATTAAGGACCCCCAACAAGGTCAATCTATTCTGGCTAGGTTTGCATCAGACCTCCAGTTTCCGCACCCGAACGAAGGCCATGATCACATTCTTTACTTAAAGCCTTCGGACCACCCTCGTACCGAGTATACGGGGGAAGACATTGGTTTGATATTACAACGGCTCCAAGCATCTTCTACATATTTCAAACGGGGAAACCTTTCAGCCTCCAATCAGATACGAGGTCGCGGGTACGAGGCTCATCGCGGTGGCAGGGGCCATCGCTTTCCGTCTAGTAGACTTCCCAAGTCCTATTCTGGAGCAAGACTAAATGACAAGACAAGTACTTCGCACATAGCCCAGCGTTAAATTTTCAAATGACCGGAGACCACGCTTTTTGATGCCACAAAACCCGCGCGGGAATCGGCATTACGAATCTGATTTTCTTGCTGAGCTGTCCGTGCTATCCGTGTTTTCCGCGATTTTTATGGTCTTGCCTAGAATCTTTGCGCTCACCTGTAGTTGAAGTAGTGATATATGAGATTTGAGATCACGATCGAGATTTGAATTACTAACGTTCCGAATATGCATTGCGGCACGCTCGACGCCGTATTCTTTGGCACGTTTATACTGCTTCAGAGCCTCTTCGAGTTGCCCAGCTTCACAAGGAGCGAAAGTTAATTTTAGGAACAATAAGCCATGTCATAATTTACTCACTGGCTTCCAAAACTGCGGCGAGATTGAAGGCGATCTCAGGGTCTTCCGGTGAGAGGGAAGCCGCAATACTGGAACACAATAGTCAGTGAACCGATAAGGAAGCTCTAAGCAGTTTACGTGCTGGAGATGATGCAAAGCGAGGTCAGGACGTGCAACAGGAGATATTATGTATGCGCTTGCGAGGTCTTTCGGATACTAATGTCGTCATCCAGATTTAGACAATTCTTAAGATGAGGCACGCACTTGTGTGAGCATCGGCACTAGCGGGTTGCAGTGCTATTGACTCTTTCCAAGCCGCAATGGCATTGTCAAACTCCTCTAAGAATTAATTACTCAGCACCCTGAAATCTTTGGATAAGTGGGACAAACTGAGGTGATAATGCGTGACGCCCAAGTTGAACAGAGAGCTAGCGTTACGCTTGATTTCAACACTACGATTGTAAAGTTCTTTGGCGCCTTGAATGTCACCCTCCTCTAGCTTCTGGGTCCCCTGTTCTAGACATTGCATGGCTTCCATCTCTGCAGGATCCGATGCCGTCGAATGCAGTGTAGTGGAAGTTGCCCATCCTTAAAAATACCGGTTTAGCGCCAAATGAAAGTAGAAAATGCGGTGCTGACTTTTGAATACATTGTTCCATGATTCACCCGCACAATTGCGACGGAACGCATAGCCGGGACGCGCTGTGGCAATGACAGGTGCTTCGTGGCCTGCCGTGTGTACTAAAAGCCTTGAACGGGGAGCTCGGCTCGATTTGAAGGACGCATTTGTCCTCAAAGAGAAGCTAGCAGGCCTTGAGAGGGCGCGTGTGCTCGCGGTCGCAAAGGACATTTTTCTAATTGTTCAGGTTTAAAGCGGTAAGTACGTTTGGAGACGACCCAAGTAGGTGGTACTTTAGGTAATCTATTCTCACGCACCCTCGCGCCGTTCCAAAATTTCGTCGGCTATCCGCTCGTTGCTCTCACTCGCCACCAAAGCTGGTTGTTCTTAAGCATGTCTTCAAGTGACCCTCAAAACTCGGCCTCCGGCTCGCAGGACCCAACGTCTTTTTTGCGGTCGGCCACTTTCTCGCGTGATGGACCAGCAGTGTCCGTGGAGAATGCTGTAACGGCTAATGACTTGCTCCTGGGTGCATACGACCCGGCCAAACTACATCCTCTAGCTCAACTTGGGGATCAATTAGACTATCTTGTACTAGATGACGATAAGACGAGTGAGTTGCCGGGGGCTGGCACAGCCATTCCTTCTCGAGGTTGGAGTGATGATTTATGCTACGGAACTGGCACAATGTATCTCAGTGGTAGGTCTTCTTTTTTTCGGCTCCTTAACATGAGTTTTGCACGAGTTTGTACGTCTACGGCTCGTGCCCTCTCTTATTCTATCTTCTCTCACCTTATCGTATTGCTGTCATCTCCAACTTCGGCCATTCTTATTGTTTTCTGTTGTCACATGCTCATTTATCTTTCCTTAAGGTCTGGCTTTGGGTGGCTTTTGGGGTGTGAGTGAAGGCGCTCGAAGACCTCTAGCCGTATCAAATACCCGCCTCCGGATCAACAGCGTTCTTAATTCTGTCACGCGAAGAGGAACGTTCATAGGTAACTCAGCTGGTGTACTTGGTGAGTTCACCTTTCCTGTTGGGGTATGTCACTGATTTTCATTACTCATAGCCCTTGTCTATAACGGAATCAACTCCACCATTGACTCTTTTCGCGGAAAACATGACACAGCCGGCAGTATGGCTGCCGGTGCATTAACAGGCGCCCTCTATAAGTCAACAGGTACAGATGGTTTTCCCCAGCCTCTCTGTTTACGTTCTTTAATAAAAAAACTTTTCTTCGTTAGCCGGGGTAAAACCCGCTCTTGCAGCAGCATCAGTGATATCGGGAGTGGCAGGGATTTGGAGCTACGTGAAGAAGAGCGTATGATAGACTGCTGTAACATATACCTTCCTAATATTTGCTTACCTATGTGAGATTTTATTCTGACATGTAAGCGTCCCAATGGGATTTACAGAACCTCGGCCGGTCGTTCAGGCCTGTTTAGATCACTACTGCGGGAGATCCAAAGAAGACGTGCCTTCAGCTTCCCAAATACTGCTCCGAACAGATTTGGAACCCTATATCGGTCGCCTTCAGATCTGTCAGTGTCAAACTTTTTGGGTACTGAGATTCAGAATTCTGATACCTTTCAGTCTTCCTCTGACCCCGAGCTCCGCTCCCTGGAAATAGGTATTATATGATATGGTCACCTACAAACGAAATGGATAAATTCCAAGCTCCTATGCTCTAGAGTATTGATCAATCCTCCTGTAGGCTCAGCGTGCGCCTTGTCTCCCAGGCAAATATCTCGTGACATATGCAAACTCGCTGTATTGACTCCTACTGGTCTAGGCAATACTCATGGGAAAAGGTGTCAGCCAAGAATGGTTTGAGCTCTCCCTACAAGTCGTTGAACTATCACGCTCACGATGTTGACCATGCGTCGCGCACGCGCTCCAGTGTCGAAGGAGATGTTGCAGTGAGTGCTTGCTTGCTGTCTATCCTCACGCACACATCGGAGCCTAGCTCACTTTCCACCATTACAAATGTCTCAGCGTACACGTCAAATACGTCCGGTAACGCCTATCACACCCATAAAGTGTATATCATCGTACGTGGTTCATCTGTTCTAGGGCTCCGGCTTGCTGAGCGAACTACGCTTGATGCCTAGCAGCTACAAGAAGCTCTTTCACGAATTGCCCTGGGAAAGCCCTCAGGGTTCACCGAGGTCCGTAGCTGCCAGCGACCATTCGAACACACAGTCACCGCCGTCGTCCTGGAGTATGCCATCTCAGTCTGAGTCATCTAGCCAGCAGGGCACTGCTTGGAGCCAGGCTTCTTCCGCTGATCGCACTAGTCCATCCATGTCTAATCAATATATTTCGAGTCAATCTCGGGTCCAACACTCCTCCTTCCTAAACGATGGTCAAACGAGGCGAGTTATTTGTAGTATATTGATCTTTCTCGCGTTGACGAATTGGTAAGCTAGGTCATACCACCTTGATGTCGTGCAACATCCCCAAAGAACCGCGGAATTTGGTTCTGCTAGCCTCTCCCGTTTGCCACTAGCTCCGCCAGTAATCGTGCAGCTCACTGTACGCGATCGCTTTGGAAATTCCATCATTCCGTAAGTTCCGTCAGCATCTCACAAGGTTAGCGTACAGGAATATAATTTTTCCGACAGTGAGATGGAGCTGCCATTCTTGATCGCCCACTTGTCACTATTCACGGATGATGGGTCACCGTTGGACATGGGCACCTCACCAAACGGGGAGGCACCTCCGCGGCGTTTGCTTTACGGAAACCTAGTGTCGTCACCTCAGAAATTGCGCGACCTTCAGGGCCGTCTTGGATTATATTTTCTGTTCCCCGACGCGAGTATACGTTGGCGCGGCCGCTTCCAGCTCGGGATTTCTCTATTACGGATATCAGAGTACGTGGAGCAGGAACGAGGCGGGTGACCATGACTGAATTTATGAAATTCATTTCTTATATTCGCAGGACTAATGCTTCTGGTACTATGAGTATTGCATCTCAGGGGACTGTGCTTGCACAGGCTCGCACACGGTCATTTGATGTCTGTGCCCATGAAAATTACGTCGCACCGCGTAAGGACCTGGCTTTGTTGTTGATCTTTCTTGCTGATGTGACGACTCTTTCCAAAACAGCCATTACACGCTTAACGCAAAGCTTTTTGAGACAGGGTGCGCGAATCCATGCCTTCACGCCAAATGGTCCTTAGACCCTAGAATTTGTGTTCGGACTTTCCGACGCATGTTGATCACTTTCGGATAACCTTCGCATTTTTTTTTTCGTTTTCGCTTTCTGCTGTATATCATAGTCGGTGCACTCATTCGACCTTTCTATACTGACACCTGTTTCTGCTATTTCTTGTCGCTGCATGACGCTCTCGACCTGCTGACTGCATATATCATCTGGCTATAATTGCAAACACACGTTGAGGAGATAAGTTAGATTATTCAATTAGAGTTTGCATGCTGTATCGTTCAGTGTCTTGGTGAGGTAATAACGAGTGTAAAGTAAGCGAAGGGCGTCTGCATGACAATTAACCCGCAACGTTGACAGGTCGAGCGCCTCTGTGTCATCGTTGATCTAATGCCGCTAATTGATCACAAGATTTGGCCTAAAGCATAACTGCGGCCGACGACGAGGGAGATCACGCAAATACTTTACTAGTACGCCTGCAGGGATTCATCTCCGGTTCATGAGCGATGGTTAGGCGGCCAGTGGTAATAAATCTAATGATTGATGTAACACACCAAGCGCCATGCTTGCCTGCTCTGAGACAGGGTGGTTCCCCAGTAGTAGCATGGAATTGGTAGTTCACAAGATATTTTGGCTCGAATGCGACTGCGGTCGGACCTATGACTTTGCTGCGGTTACAGTGTTGCACTGCCCAGGCCATTTGAATCACTGCTGGGAGTCACCTTGGCATGCCTCGTGCAGCGTGAGAAACGCGCACGAGATAAGTTTGGTGCAAAGCGACAACGGGTTTAGTTCTACTAGTACCCTCTCCTTCTCATTGTCAACATTAATTAACGGTTTCCTCCATCGAACAATGGCCAACAAGGATTACTACGGCGGTCAGCAACAACAATACTACCCACCCCAAGGTTGGTTACACATCTTTCGGTGTTTTGATATTTGAAACCTGAAGGACTGCAGGTCCACCACCAGGACAGGGGGGTTACTATCCCCAACAACCCCAACAATCGTACGGAGGGCAGCCTTACGGTCAATCTTATGGCGGACCTGGTTACCAACCTCAACCACCACCGCAGACAGTTTACGTGTCAGTACATAACCCTGCACGTCTGAACTGCGCGCTAACACGAGGCTGAAAATTTTCGTAGACAACAACCTGCTCAGTCCAGTGGTGCTGGTGGAGGCGCTGGCTGCCTGGCTTGTCTCGCTGGTGCATGTCTTTGCTGCTGTGCCGAGGGTAGGTGTTCTCCGAACCCTTGGCAAATCACCGGCATACTGAAATTCACACTAACAGAGGCACTTTGCGACTGTCTATTGTAAGACTTGGAGATTGCGTAGCAGGGCTACTGTCCGCTGGCACGGCGCAATATTGCCTAGTTGATGAGAACCCACTCATGATCACGCTGTATATGTCGGCTGGATGCCTTTATGCTACAATGGACACGAACCTTTACTTTCTCTCCTTGGTTATGAGCCATCCTGATTTCTATTCGTTGGACTACGATACCGTACTTCGTGATAGTGTCGTTTCTGAATGACTTTGTGAGGCCTGTGACATTGTCATTTTTTTTGTAAAATTATTCGTCAGAGATATCATACCCTTTCCACTTTTTGCACGTTTGGAGAAAGTCTGAAAGACAAAGGCTGTGAAATCCAGGTGATTGTATTGGACGATCGGAAACTACGGTACTGCCGACTAAGCCTCCGGTTCGTTCCGTGACTGATATGTGTGATGCGTGACACTGACAGTCACCACTTCAAGGCCTTTCCGCTCCTCGAAAATCTTGAGGACTTGAAACCAAAATGCTGTCGAGGCTTCCCGTGGCCGCGCTCAAGAGCCAGTCTGCAATAGGCGCATCTCGCTCTGCCTTCAGCGCCCTCAAAGCGCGTGCTACGTCGGTCAGTTCTACTTCTCAATAACTAACCCGAAGTTTGTCTGCTCAACCTCCGACAGCAGGTCCGATTTACTTCATCCAGTTCAGCCTCCTCAGCTAAACTTGAGGTTGGTTCTTTATGTGTCTTAGAATGTTTCTCAAAGAATTCACTCGTTTTTAAATGCAGTCACTGTTCACATCTCGCGCGTCACTCATCTCCGCTGCCCTTTTCTCTGCTGGCTCAATAGCATGGTATACCCATCTATATGGCTCCCTCCCCTTCGTTGGCGAGGTGCATGCAAATTCGCTGGCCGACGACGGTCTCCATCCCACTGCGTATCCTTGGTCTCACAAGGGCTTGTTCGACAGCTTTGACCACTCTAGGTATGTCCGCGTTGACTACCGTGAAATATCTTCTGACACCTGTACCCTAGCATCCGTCGCGGTTTCCAGGTTTATCAGGAGGTTTGTGCTGCATGTCACTCGCTCGACCGTATTGCCTGGCGCAACCTTGTTGGGGTGTCCCATACTGCCGACGAAGCGCGTTTACTCGCCGAGGATGTAGAGTACACGGACGGCCCAGACGATAAAGGCGAGATGTTCCAGCGTCCCGGAAAGCTTTCCGACTACCTTCCTTCTCCATACCCCAATGAGGAGGCTGCTCGGGCCGGTAATAGTGGTGCCCTTCCTCCCGACTTAAGCTTAATCATCAAGGCTCGTCATGGTGGTGCGGTAAGTGGTTTGAATCGTTCGTATAATGAGGAAATTCGCTCATATGTCGCTTCGTCAACCAGGATTACGTGTTTTCCTTACTGACGGGTTATATCGACCCCCCTGCTGGTGTTGAAATTCGTGAAGGAATGAACTACAACCCTTACTTCCCTGGTGGTGCCATCTCTATGGCGCGTGTCCTCTGGGACAATCTCGTTGAGTACGAAGATGGTATGTCCCTCTCTCGTAAGCTAGGCTGGCCCTGTATTGAAGATCGCTATAGGCACCCCTGCCACAACCTCTCAGATGGCCAAAGATGTTGTCACCTTCTTAAACTGGGCAGCCGAGCCCGAGCACGACGAGCGGAAGAAAATGGGTATCAAAGCTGTTATCCTCTTCTCTGCGCTATTCGCTGTTTCCATCGGGGTGAAGCGGTTCAAGTGGACCGTAATCAAGAACAGGAAAATCTGTAAGTTCTAAAGCTCATTGATACTGCTAGCAGATCTTGATCGAGTTCGTAGTCTACAACCCGCCCAAGGATTTGAACCATTAGAGAACTTGCGTACATAGGGCGGATCGAGTATCCCATAGACTCTTACGGCCATCAGATGCTGCAATCCATGTTGCATCCATCTAATGAGACTGCTTTTCAACCGCGAGAGTTTTTTCATGTGTGAATTTGGTTGCCTTACTGAGGTCTTTGGGAGCGAACGCGCGAAAGCCTCAAGGCAATATGAGAAAGACGCTATACCACCGACGAACGTGGGAAACTCGGGGTGGGACATGCTGGTGCTTCGTTTAGGAACGCTGTCCTTTCTTCTCGCAACCTTGCTCAAGCTTTGATTTCCCTTCACCAATTTCTATACCGACAATTGTCCTCATCCCAATATCACAGCATAACGCACACTAAAAGTCTATCACTAAATCACCATGTCGTCTGAGTCATGGCCTCCACCACTGAAGTAAGCGCCCATATCTTCACTTTAAGCTAGTGAAGCTGAAGTCGGTGGTTTAGGGAATGGGTAGCACGATGTCTGGGGCAAATGACAGATGCTAATAGGGCAGAGGCTCAGGCTGAGCTGAGAGAGTCAATTGCTAACGCTTTCGCTGAAAAGACTCTATGGACAACCGACTGGGCTGGTGTACAATTAAAAAGGTGCGGTCTGAGTTCGTCGCAAGCTGAGTTACAGATTTCAGTGACTTGCGACATCCAGTCTGATGCCCAAAGCTCCCCCGGTGCTCAATACCCTCAAGCGCAAAATGTCAGTGTCATGCGCTTCCAATGTTACCATGACTCATTGATGCTTTAAAGGAATGACACTCCACCGATGAGCAAGAAAGCAAAGAAAGCTGCGGCGCAGAAGCGCAATGATGCCAACCTCGACTTCGGGGATCAGGCGGCTCTTAATCGCCGAGCCGAACGTTTTCAGCGGGAACATGATATAGAGCGACAGAAGAGTATGCGTAGTCAGGCCTCTCTCCAGGCTAATAATCAGAATGCTCACCTCTTCAACCGGATATCACGTTCTGACTCGCCGAGTGCCTTTGGTACTAATCCTGACGACCCTGAGGCGGATCCCGTCCGTCTATGTCCATTCCCGCACTCAATGCGAATGCTTATCTTATTGCTTAGAACGTGCTTGACTGGGATAAGTATACAATCGTTGGGACGAATCAGGAGTTATTTAAGGACTATCTGCGTCTTACCTCAGTATGAGATTATCCGATACAATCGTTTTTTCTTCTGACTTTTCGCACAGGAACCAAAACCAGAAACGATCCGCCCATACTCAGTTCTCCAACAGACACTCGTCGAACTCAAGAAGCGCTGGAAGGACAAGGTGTCATATAATTGGATATGTAATCAGTTTAAGAGCCTGCGGCAAGATCTCACCGTGCGTTATCCATCGCTTGTATATTTCATGTTGACACGTGCCCCTCTCGGTAGGTGCAACGAATAAAAAATGAGTTTACAGTACAGGTATATGAGATCCATGCACGTATGGCACTCGAAAGCGTAGGTGCTGGATCTTTTATACGGCTTACAGCTGATCTGCTGCTGCAGTCGGACATGGTAGAATATAACCAATGTCAGGCAACACTTAAGAATTTATACGACCTCGGCATACCAGGCAAACACGAAGAATTTACCGCCTATCGTATTCTCATGCTCCTGCATGGACGGAATAAAAGCGGTGTGCCCCTTCTTCCCTTCTCGTCAGTTCAGGATATGACTCATACTTGTATTCCCGCTTTACTGCGTAGAGCTTAATCTCTACGTAGGTACGCTAACACCACGACAGAAAAGGGATCCCGCAGTGCAGCATGCACTTCAGGTCCAGCGCGCTATCTCCATGGGCAACTACCATGCTTTGTTTGAGATGTATTTCAATGCACCAAACATGGGGGCGTATATTATGGATTATTTCATTGATCGGGAGAGGACCAGGGCGTTGATGACTATGACAAAAGCGTGAGTATCTATCATCTCCATACGATTATAACCGTATCTTATTCGTCTCCATCAGATACCGCACAATAACAGTGTGCTTCATCCAGAATGAGCTCGGATTTGAATCAGTGTCGGACACACTCAAGTTCTTAGGAACGCACGGTTCTGCCTTTTTCGTCAACCCGAACGCCCTCGATCGGGACAAGACGGTGGAGTGTAAATCTGCTGCACCACAGTTGGCACAGGTTTACGAGGAGAAATACCGCAAGGTTGGGATCAAGGGTGCAATATAGTCTGCCTCATGCACACTGGCGCATCCCCTTTCTGCTTCCAATATCTTCCTTACCTCTCTTATCCTCCTGCATCGCTCCCCGTGTCACCTGTCTGTCTCTTCCGTCCCATTCACATGTCGTCAACTTCATCTTGTCCGCTCGATCTCACCTGGATGGTATACCATAGAAGGAGGAGAGATAACGATAATTTATATATCGCAGCGACTACTCCGTTCCCCAGCCTTTCCTCAGGCCTGTTTCTTCTCTCACCACAGTCACAACACAGTCTTCAAGCCTCACGTCAAGAGAACCATGAACAGAACACGGTATAGAGTCTTATTCTTGGCGTCTTGCAATTGTAGTTTCTTTAAGCCAGAGGGAGAGGATCGGAATCAGGATGGTTTTGTTTTGGGGGTAGCTGATTCCGGTCTTCCGGCAATGTAACAGTTTGTTGATGGAACTTGACTTGTTGGGTTTATGTGGTGAGCGTGTTGGGGTGGGAGGAGGTTGCTTTTGTGTATCTTATGTATCGTCTTACAATTGAAGTTAATGCCATGCGCGTTATATATAATTTTTAACTGAGTGTGATCGTTGAAAGTGAAACGTTGATCAGTGGCAACGGTGAAGTCCGTGCTAGCGCAATGTCAATGTGACACCGAACAACATCAACAAGTCGGATATGGTGTAACGGTTAACATTGCTGTCTTTCACACAGCGGCCCCGGGTTCGACTCCCGGTATCCGAATCATTTTTCGTTTCCGCGCAGAGAGCGTATGTTGCAATTCGGTCCATACGCTCTCTACGCGGGATGTGATTTTGAGGTGTGGGTGGTGGACCTGATTTTTTAGGGATCCGAGTAAGAGCGGACTGTCGACATCGCACGTAACTTGCACTTGAACTGATGGCGGTAGAGTGTGAGCTTAGGTCTTTCTTACGAATCGAAGTGATGTGCACTGTGCAGGGGTACGATTGCAATTAGCAGTGTGTTCCACCGTGACTAGTACATTATATAGCAAGAACTCCCTAAAGCTAAAACATTTCCATCCTTACGTTTGTATTTCCGGTAGTGGGACCCCTCACAGTGAGCCTGCAACAACAGATTAGCGATACGGAGGAGGGAGGGGTCGTTCTGACGATGTCCGTTCTCAGAGCGTGCATGAGTTTGAAAGCAACTACTAGAAGAAACTTGTGGCTGAGTCGGATGTTTTATAACGCGTCTTACACCGCCCCCTAGTCACCACCAAATCCTCTTTCAGATCTCATCAATGTCAGATAAGCGGAGAGCAGAGATCGAAGCTAAACGTGCAAAACTCGCAGAACTTCGGAAAGCTAGAGCAGACCGCCAACGAGCAGAAACTGAGCGACGCCAGGCAGAAGTTCGTTCACCTTCCCTTTACTCTTACGAAGCTCAAGCTTCTCTAGCCCGGTCCGTCTAGCGGAGCACGTCGCGACGTTGACGACCTCGTCAACCAACTCGTCGGAAGTCGCAGTGGCCTAGATACAGGCGAGGACCTTACCCCCTCCTCGTCCCTCCCCAACACCCCACCCCGACCGTCTACAAATCTACTCCACGGCTTGACGCTCTCACCGTCTGGCAGGGTGAGCAGGCAGAGCGATGTCGGGAGCGATAAAGTCAGTATGGGTACGACTATGATGGGGATGATGGAGCATGTTGATAGGTATGTACTCCCGTGGTTTCTTCGACGCTGGCGGTGATGTTCATATTACGTGAAGGGTGTTGACGCCGAGGTTCATACCAGACCTTATAGATGTCGAGCAGGAGCTATTCGAGCTTCCACAACGCGTAAGTGCCTCGACGTCATCCTCTCCCATCTAAAATCCTCACTCATACCCAGGAACGCGTGATCTACAACAAAGAGGTGCAAACGACAGCCATCGAAACTGAAACACCCCAAATATCAGAGAATGAGATCCGACAACAGATCATGCGCGAACGGGAGTTGGAGGCGGAGAGGATTGCCCAGGATAAGGAGCTCGAGGAGGAGAGTGTACAGCTTGAGAAGGAGATTGAGGAGGAGATTCGGGGTACGTTCTCCTTTAGTTCTCTTCACTTCACTCTGATACTTCGAAACTGAGACTGTTCAACCTTATAGAGCTTACGGAAGAGGAACGCTCACATATACTCAGTGCACCCGAATTCCTGGACTTTGTGGAACAATCGTCGAAGATCGTTCAACGTGCGTTGAACGATGGGTATGACTACATTCGTGATTATACTATAGGCACGGAGGCGAATGGGTGCGTTTCCTTTTATTTTGCTTATGCGATGTCAGAGTGTTAATACTTATTTCAGGGACGACTCAGAGGGAAAGCGCGTCAAGCGTATTTGTGCATTCTATGATGAACGCTGCGGCAAGAATAGGTCGATTACAGATATCGATTGGTCGCCCAAGGTCTCGGATGTCGTTCAAGCACGATGATTCTTACTGACTTTGATACAGTACCCGGAGTTGAGCGTAGCGTCGTATAACAAGAACCCTGCTGCATTGAACGAGCCAGATGGGATTGTTGCAGTATGGAACCTCCACCTACTCGACAGATCGGAGTTCGTGTTCCACTCACAGGTCGGTGAGCATATCTATAAGTCATGTATTTTTTTGACTGATATCTTGTCAAGTCTGATGTCCTCTCCGTCACGTTCTCCCCATTCCACTCAAACTTGGTGTTTGGTGGCACGTACTCGGGGCAGATTCTACTGTGGGACACGCGATCAAAACATCTACCTGTGCTGAAGACGCCCCTCTCGGCTGCTGGACATACACACCCTGTGTATGCGATGCAAATGGTCGGTACTCAGAACGCGCACAACTTGATTACCAGCAGTACAGATGGCACCGTGTGTAGTTGGCTCGTTGACATGCTCGCCCAACCACAAGTAAGCCTCTTTCTACCAAATATTGAGCTTAATTGATGCCTAAACTCCTAAATTTGTCCTCAGGAAACTCTAGAGCTTATTCATGCAGGCCACAACAAAACAGGCGAAGTAGCCATCACAACGCTGGACTTCCCGGATAATGAAACGACCACGTTTTGGGTCGGCACCGAAGAAGGCAATGTCTATCAAGCCAATCGCTACGACCGCGCGGGTGCAAAAGCCGGATTGAATCAGTATGATATCTACAAGGGACACGCGGGGCCTGTCATGGGGCTGCATTTTCATCCTCTTGTGGGACCTGTAGACTTCTCCGATCTATTCCTGACTGCGAGTGTGGATTGGACGGTGAAACTTTGGCGCGCAAAATCACTTGCGAAACCGTCAACTGCTGCGCATGCTATTTCTCCTATCTACTCCTTCGACGAGGCGGATGATTATGTGTATGATGTGAAGTGGCATCCAGCGCATCCTGCTCTGTTTGGAACGGTTGACGGGTCTGGGAGATTTGATGTTTGGAATCTGAATACGGATACTGAAGTGAGTTTTGGTTGCTTCAGTGATCCTGATCTAGATCGGGCACAATTTGATGCCGTGCACGGGACTCCGTTGCTAACATCCACTTCCATTTCCAGGTACCAATCGTCTCCACAAACGTCGGGTCCGGTCGAGCTATCAACAAGTTACAATGGGACAGAAAAGACGGACGGCGGGCCGCACTCGGAGGGAGCGACGGGAAGTTGTATGTCTATGATATTGGTGACATGGCACTTCCACGTGAATCTGAGTGGACGGATCTCCAGAAGACGGTGGCGGGTTTTATTGGGGGTGCGCAGGCGAACGGAGTAGTAGACGGAGATGCGACGCGGATCGTTGCTGGGCGGTAGTGCTTGGGAAATTCCCGTTGTTGTTCCGTGCCGTATCATGGGACTTTACTCGAGTGTCGTAAGTGGGGTTCTCTGTTTCACTCAGATTGATCTGTATGATACTTGCATTTTTCCCATGATACTTTAGTCTTTAGGACGGAATTAGTGGGTTATGCGAGGTTACGCGGAATGGTCTCAACAAAAATACGGAGAGCAATTAATAGTCTTATATACGGGATTTTTATCTGGGAATGATAGTGGAACGGCGATTCCGCCCATCCCGAAGGTGCTAGTACATAGCAGCTGTTTTGCTGTGTTGTGTTTCCCAATGAGTGCCCTGCGCAACGCCTCCATCAAGACCTCCTCTTCCATCTCTTGCGCACTTACCCGTGCTAGTATATTCGGTTCTCTGTTTCCAAGTTCAACTCGTAAGATGTCTACAGATAGTAAATTTGCTCAGGTGCGTGCCGTTCTTTGGTCGTTCAGGTGTTGACTCTTGGGATTAACGCTGAGTGATAGGCTCCACACAAGTGAGTCATGGTTCAAGCTCGTATAAAAGTTGTCTGAGACTGACAGACCGCGTCCGTCATTTACAGACTTCTGGTGTATGTCTACTCGTGCTTTTGCCTGCGTGGAATGTATCTCATCTGAGTGTCTTGCGTTCTCAGCATCCCAGGACCGATTGAGGTCACGGATGAGGTGCGTATACACTTGTGTCGTTTCTGCATGAATTGTAACGCTCATAAAAATGTTTATAGGTCCTCTTTGCCAATGCACATCCGTCGATGTCGCATATGTCACCCGACTTTGCAAGAGTCTTTGGTGACTGCATTCGCATGACTAGGCAAGGACACGCAGTTCACGGTGACTTAGCGGCCGAACAATAAACTCACGTGTTTGTCAGACAACTTCTTTACTCAGAGGACGCGCAGCCGTTCCTGATCGCTGGGTCAGGCACATTGGGATGGGATCAGGTATGAGTCTGATGTTAATTTCAGGGTGCAAAATGTGTTTATTTGTGGCGCTAGGTCTCTGCAAATCTCGTAGAACCGGGCGAAAACGCGCTCGTTCTGCATAGTGGTTATTTTGCCGATAGCTTTGCAGACTGGTAGGGACAATGATGGGGCAAGCGTCGTAGTGTTTGCTCATTCTTCATGGCTCTCCAGTTTGCAGACCTATGGTGCCAATGTCGACCAGATCAAGGCTGAGATTGGTGGTGCTGTTAAGGAGGCTGATATTGAGAGCGCACTTCAAGCGAAGAAGTACAAGGTTGTTACAGTAACTCATGTCGACACCTCGACAGGTAAGTGATATTTTTCAGGGTGCCTGATATTATATAGGTTCCTGATATCGGACTGATCTATCTTGGGTAGCCGTTTTGTCCTGACATCAAAGCTATTGCAAACGTCGTGAAGAGAGTTTCTCCAGACACACTTGTAATTCCCCAAAAGACTCCTCAGTTCACGTGTACTCATTATGGATTGATGCTAGGTCGTTGTTGATGCTGTCTGCTCTGTGGCGAGCGAAGAAATCCAAATGGATGCCTGGGGCATTGATGTCGTATTGACAGCCAGCCAGAAAGGTTTGGGCACACCACCGGGTC